CTGGACCCTAAACCCTGAACCCTAAACCCTAAACCCACTGCACTTAAAAGAAAAAACCCAAAACCCAAAACCCAAAACCCTTAACCCTGAACCCTAAGCCCTAAACCCTAAACCCCCAAAGCCCTAAACCACCAGACTTAGGGTTTGTTCAGTCAAACCTCGGAGCTTGAGGACATCAGCCTCTACTTGAGGGTAAGGAAGCAGAGGTCGTGTGTGTTTTGTGTGTTTTATTTATTTTTTGCGGGGGGGGGGGGGGGNNGCATTTAGGACTTTGGGGGGGGGGGGGGGGTTTGGGGGTTGGGGTTTTGGGGGGTTTGGGGTTTTAGGGGGTTTGGGGTTTAGGGGTTTGGGGGTTTGGGGTTTAGGGGTTTAGGGGTTTGGGAGTTTAGGGGTTGAGGGGTTTAGAGTTTAGGGATGTCTAGGGTTTAAGTGTTTATGGTTGGTGCTCCTACGCAAACGTAGTATATGAGTTCTACAAAGCTTTGAGCCTTACTACTACAAGGGTTGCCAAAAGTTTCTGTTGGGGCTCTGGTTCTATGCCGGTTCTACAAGGCTCTTTGCTCACGGTGAACCGTTTGATGGCTTTCGGGTTTCTGTTGGTTCCCACGATGGCAGAGAAAAATCTGCGTAGTTTAGGTCTTGAGGGTTTAGGTTTCTTATATTCACGGCAGGAGACCATGTGCGTTACTCTTCGGACACGAAACCCTAAACCCTGAACCCTGAAGGTACTTGGAGGTTCATGGGTAGTAATAAGTAGAGTTATAAGTCCTTTAATATGAGTTATAATTATAGTTACCCTACTTATAATCCCGCTTCGAACTACCCATGAACCTCCAAGTAGGTCCATGATTTTCTAGGGGCCTGCTGTCGGCAAAACTGCCAATCTCCAGCTCGGCTTGAAGTTTATGCCCATAAGGGTTGTTTAAAGGATTACCAAAGGGGTTTAGGGTTTAGGGCTTATAGGGTTAAGGGTTTATAGAGATTAGGGTTTAAAGGGTTTTGGGTTTAGGGTTTATAGGGTCAAGGGTTACTATCGGGCTTAGTTAAAAAGGGCTTACTGTAGGCTTGTTATATGGGTTGGTTGCTGTAAGTGGGACTATGAACCTCGAGACCTCACGGCCCATGTCCTATCTCGAGGTTCTGACTCTGAAATCCCCGTCTCTTTTCACACATCTCCGGATCTCCATGGCCAGATGGGGGAGGCTTCTGACGAAACACCGCAACATAGCATATGCAGCATGTAAGATGATCCTTTTCAAGACCGATCCCCCTCAGAAGAGGAACTACCCTGCCTTCGCTCCCGAATTTGGGGAATCGTCAGTATGACAACGAGTGAATTGCTGTGTTGGTGCAGGCCTTTGCCGCCTCCTTTCGCCACCTGTGTCTCAGCGGGCACACGGCTGTAAGGAAGGAACTTGGTCGTCGTCGTAGTAGTAGTGGTAGCAGTAGTGGTAGTGGTGGTGGTAGTGGTACTGGTACTGGTAGCCCCTGCTACTGCTACTGCTGCTGCTACTACTAACGTATCTACCACTTGCACTTGTATTCATGGTAGGCATAAATATCCGCAGGAAGAGCAGCGGCCGTTCGGTTAGTTCCAACCACAAGCAGACTGAAACGAGTTTGGTTTTTGTGCAGTACTGGACTTGTTGAACCCGTGTCTTGATTGTATGATGTACGGGCGTGACATAGTAGGCAGTATGATCAAAAAGGGGAGACGTAGCATGGCATGTCACAGTGTTTGTAAACAGGGTACAGTATGATGGATAACGACATTATTCCGTATACCATGGCATAGAACATTGTGGAATGTTGTATAAGTTCGTCCAACCTATCGCAATATCCCACAAGATCTTGGAACCTCCTAAGAAAGGACAAGTGACTGTAGTATATACAGTAGCAGAGTGTTGCAACAGGAGTGCACAAACCCTAAACCCTAAACCTTGAAACCTAAACCCTGAAACCCTAAACCCTAAACCCTAAACCCTAAACCCTAAACCTCTCGCATTTTCAGCTCAGGCTTCAGGCTATCAAAGCCTCACGTGTTGCTGTGCTGAGTCTCCCTCCGCTTGGCGAGGCCTCGCACCCGGTTTAAGGTTTAGGGTTTAGGGTTTAGGGTTCAGGGATGTAGGGATTTAGGGTTCAGGGTTTAGGGATTTAGGGATTTAGGGATTTAGGGTTCAGGGTTTAGGGTTTAGGGATTTAGGGTTCAGGGTTTAGGGATTTAGGGTGTAGGGCTTAGGGATAGGGCAGGATAGAACTGTAGTACTAAACATCCCGAATCTTTACGCTGATGAAACCCTAACCCCAAAACCCCAAAACCCTACACCCAAAAACCCTAAACCCTCAGCCCTAAACCCTAAAACCCCGAAACCCTAGACCCCAAAACCCTAAACCCTAAGCCCTAAACCCTAAAACCCCAAAGCCCTACACCCCAAAACCCTAAACCCTAAGCCCTAAACCCTAAGCCCCTAAACCCTACACCCCACCCCAAAACCCTAAACCCTAAACCCTAAGCCCTAAACCCTAAACCCTAAACCCTAAGCCCCTAAACCCCACACAGCAAAACCCTAAACCCTAAACCCTGAGCCCCTAAACCCTACACCCCAAAACCCTAAACCCTAAGCCCTAAATCCTAAGCCCCTAAACCCCACACACCAAAACCCTAAACCCTAAGCCCTAAACCCCAAGCCCCTAAACTGTTGTAGATGTAAGCCCCCTGTAGAGACGCGCAGGTACCGGGCGACCTAGTTCCCGTCGGCATCCGGAAAGGGTTTTAGGGTTTAGGGTTTAGGGCTCTGGAAGAAAACTAAATCCTGAGTCCTGGAACCTTCTACCCTGAAATCCTTAGACCCTGAAGTTCCAAACTCTGAAGCCCACACAACCCCAAGCTTGAAACCCCACCAAAAACCCTAAACCCTGAACCCTGAAATCCTAAACCCCTAAAGCCTAAACCCTTAAAGCCCCAGAAAGCCTAAACCCTGAACCCTGAAATCCTAAACCCTAAGCGGCTCGAAACTCTCGGATGGTCATCCGAAGAGCTGAGAGGCCGCTTCCGGAGAAGCAGCCGAGGTCATCGCTTCATACAACAGGCGGGTGTAGGGTTCCTTCAAGGGTTCCTATAGGGGTAGGGTTTAGGGTGTAGGGTGTAGGATTACTATGTGTACTTGGAGGTTCATGGGTAGTTATAAGTGAGGTTATAAGTAGGGTAACTGTACTTATAACCCATATTAGGTGACTTATAGCTCCACTTATAACCTCCAAGTAGGGCTCCTTCAAGGGTTCCTAGAGAGATTACTGTGAGGGATCTATAGTGGTATTCTTAGGGCCAGGGTTTTAGGGTTTCCGGGTTTAGGGTTAATTTTGAGTCCCGAGCGCTGTAGAGCTTCGGGGTTTACTTCGGGTTTAGTTTAGGGTGTTTGGATATGTGGGTTTCGGGCTTAGGACCTTGGAAGTGTAGGCGGTCTGAGCCCTAAACCCTATAAACCCTAAGCCCTATACTCCAAACCTTCAACCTTCTGCCAGGACTGCCCCTCTTGCGTCTATCCCAACAGCCAGGATGTCGCATTTATATACAACATAATAATAATAAAAATAATGATGATAATAATAATAATAATACTAACAATACTGCGACAGATCTTGAGCCGCCCGCACCCCAAACCTCACCAGGGGCACTTCGCTTTTTTCCTTTGGAATTATGGCTCTTCAGAGGCTCTTACCTAGCCCTGAACCCTAAACCCTAAATCCTAAACCCTGAGCCCCCCTAAACCCTAAACCCTAAACCCTAAATCCTAAAACCCTAAGCCCTATTACTAATGTTCTGCCGAGGCTTGCCAACCTACCACCTTGGGCTTCAGGGTTCAGGGTTTAGGGGACAGTGAGAACTTAGAACCGAGCCTTCCGTATATTTCTACAGGTAACCGTGTGTGTGTGTGTGTGTGTGTGTGTGTGTGTGTGTGTGCGAGCGGGGGTTGTTCTACAGCATAGTCCATCAAGTAGGGTTTACGGTGGAAGGTCCGCAGTATCGTACTTAAGATTATCCTTGATACCACTTGCATGCTAAAAGGCTATGTGCAGTTTGTGTGTGTGTGTGTGTGCGTGTGTATGCGCCTGCGTGCATGGGTTGCTTTTCTGGAGGCGGGTATCAGGTTTGCTATGAGTTTTGAACGCAGGATGTTTTGGCACTTTCTCTTGCTCCCTGTTGCTGCGCTCGGCCGTAAAACATGAAGCTGGACTAAGGCAACGGTCACGCGGCCACGCCTGCTCCCAAAATAGTTTACTTTTGCAAAGGAATAGTATGGGGTTTAGGGTTTACGTCCAGGTCCCGCTCGGATGTGGGTGCAGGTGAAGGAAGTTCCATTTGTCCGATGTCTGAGCAGCTGATGTTATTGGTGGATGGCTGTGGCTTGTGGCGAGGACAGATTCTGAGAGACACCTCGTTTGTTTTGAGGTCCCAGGCGTCCTTGCCGAAGGCTATCTGGCATGGGATTGGACGCAATTTCGGACCAAGCCCTATCCTTTCTTGAAATCTACCGGAGCCATCGAAATCTGAATCCCAGCACAAAACCCTGAGCGCATTACCTCAGACCCTGAAGTTCGAATTCTACACCACAGGGTCTACACAAATCCCTAAAGCTTGAGCTCGACACCAGAATTCACTTAGAAATCCCTTGTACCCGGACCTTTACTGGACCCTGCAACCGAAATTGGAATGGCAGCCCAAAAGCCCTACTCCCTAAACCCTAAACCCTAAACCCTAAACCCTAAAGCCTAAAGCCTAAAGCCTAAAGCCTAAAGCCTAAACCCTAAACCACGACACCATGCAGGCCCCAAAGCCTGAAGATCTTTGCTGCAGGCAAATCCGCGATGCGGTGCGGAGCGACCCGCGGGCTCAGTCTCCCAGCGTCGAAAATCGGTAAACCCGAAGTCCTCAATGGCGGCTTGAATAAAGTGTTTAGGGTTTAGGGGGTTTAGGGTTTAGGGGGTTTAGGGTTTAGGGTTTAGGGTTTAGGGTTTAGGGTATAGGGTTTAGGGTTTAGGGTTTAAAGTGTTTAGGGTTTAGGGTTTAGGGCAGCGACCCCGGAATGAGGATAGTAAGCAGGTTTCGGAAAGTCCCATGCCATGTGAAGTGTTGATCAAGTCGGTTATGAGCACAGGATACGAGTGCCCTGGTTTGGTTTGCCCGAATGATTTAAACGACAACACCGTCTGCAACCTCCTGATTTCGTCTCCGAGGCTCTGACTGAGGCCCTCGGCCGAGCGTCTCGACATAGGGGTGAGATAAAGCCTCCCGCTAGACGGGGACGGAAATGACTCGACTACGCCTCACACTCCGGTGACCCCGAAACCCACACCATTGCCGATTACATGTCGAGCAACCCTCACAGGATGCGAGGGGCGGGTGGTTTGTTGGAAACCTTTGATTCTCGTCCAGCGGCCGGCACAGGCCGCGAGGACCCACAACCCGACACCAATCCATCTCAGCTGTGCTTTGCTGTGAAATGTGGTCGTTTCTATGTCGAACTGCGAGAGGAAGCAGAAAGCAAGAAAACCCCCTTGAGGTGGGTTTGGGGGGTGAACGGGGTGAACCCGAAATGGACCCGAAACCCTAATTAATTTAGAATAGTTGGGGTGGTTGGGCCTGGACTACATGCTGCCGCAAGCGCACCACAAGTAGGTGTGCCCCTATTCCTAAAGTAAACGGCGCACCCACCGCGCGCACACCCTAAACCCTGAACCCTAAACCCTAAACCCTAAACCCTAAACCCTAAACCCTAAACCCTAAACCCTAAACCCTAAACCCTGAACCCTAAACCCTAAACCCTGAACCCGAAACCCCGTCCCATGGGACCCTCCCGGCCGGAACCCGAACACCCAAGGGCTTACAGTCGGCCTCGAAGTTTCGACCTTTTCTTTGGGGCGCGAAAAGGTTTAGGGTTTAGGGTTTAGGGTTTAGGGTTTAGGGTTTAGGGTTTAGGGTTTAGGGAAATATCCCTTTTCAGTCCCTTTACTACCTTAAGCTTTATCCTTTAACCGTATTCTGATTATCAAGGCACCTATGCTAGGTGGGTTTAGCGTCCCAGGGTTTCCGGTTTATAGACTCCGGCAGTCTTCAGGGTTCTAACGCCGCATCTTCGGATCTTGAAGATCCTGACTTCCACTCCCACCGCCTGAAACCGGGCCCCAAGCCACAGGTGCTGAACGATTTAGGGTTTAGGGTTTAGGGTTTAGGGTTCAGGGTTTAGGGTTTAGGGTTGATCATGGCTGAGGGCCTGCACTCACAGGCAAACAGTAGTGGCCGAAACCGATGTTTTCATGAGCGGTACGATTCCTATCGTTGTTACTACCACTACCATTCCTCCCAAACCGAAAACCCCAAACCCTAAACCCCAAACCCTAAACCCCAAACCCTAAACCCTAAACCCCAAACCCTAAACCCTAAACCCCAAACCCTAAACCCCAAACCCCAAGCCCCATGATGCCGATCGGTCGGTCGAGGTACGTGCCTTTCGCTGAGCACCTGGAGGGCGTGAGCGGGGAAGGCCGGTAGGAGATTGGGGTTTAGGGTTTAGGGTTTAGGGTTTAGGGTTTTGGGTGTCGGGTTTAGGGTTTAGGGTCTAGAGTTTTGGGCTATGGGTTTAGGGTTTAGGGGTTTTGGGTTTGGCCGGACCTGAGATTGGGGTTTACCAAAACCTAGTCTAGAAGCCTCAACTCCTAAATGATTACCAATGCCATTTGGGGGGGGGGGGGCTCCTGATTTCTTTAGACTTTAGACGATACTCTGCCCCAAAACCTTCCTCTAATTATTAAGGCCCTTCTTTCACTTGAACCAATCTTTCCTGCAGGCTCGTTGTCCGCATCCGAATATGGAACCTCGGGAACACCACAAGACAGTGGGTTATTCCCAGAAGACGTAGGGCAGTGTGGATTTAGGGCTGCAGATCTCCCCCAAACCCTAAATCCCTAAATC